CCTCTGGCTATGTAGAGTAGACGGCTATGCTCACTGAGAGGCTTCTTCATCAGAAACAAGTAGACCGTGTCCAGGAGCTCGAAGTACTTAGTTAGGTAATTCAACTGTCTCGACGGATTAGCACACCGGGAAAGATGACGAACTGGGTCGGGCATACATAATATAGTACAACCATGGGCTTGGTCCAACCACCCTCGAGATCACAGATGGCGCAGTGCAATCCATTCCTCGCGATTGTCGGTACTATTTGTTCCAGAAAAAGTGCCAGAAGAATGGCACTGATGATGCTGAGGAAGAAGTTGTGCAAAAGAAAAAGCCTCTTCAATTGCAATGGCTTTCGATTGCTCATGAAACTTCGTCCTCCCAAAACAACCGTATAATATAGGATAAGAACAGTTGAGGTTTCCTTCAGCGTAGAAAGAGGTGTCTTGCCCTCAATGAATCGGAAACTGTTGGCTGGATACCCCACAGCAGCCTCGAAGGCTCTGTTGAACCAGGGCCACAAATCAATGCCATAAGAGCGGTCAAGCGAAGGAATGGGCAAGGTATGAACGGAGGAGGTCGAGTCCATTCCTGCTGCTATCCTACTACTGGAGATTCGCCTCAACTCTGGCTGGGAGGGGGAAGGGCATAAAAGTTCTGATAAGGAGATGCGAATAAGATAAAAGAACGGGGTTTCCTGAGAGAGATATAAGCGAGCAATCTTTTGAGTGGCGATCAAGACATGGATGCTGGCTGGACTGTTGTGCAACAAGCAAATAATCCGATGGGGCGTGCAGTTGTTGGGATTCGAGGTTCATGTGACTTTGATGCCTTCCTAATTGAGGACCTTCTTTCCTTCTCTTGTCCAGAACTGAGCTTCAGAAGTTTCTAAGTGGCTGACAGCATCGGAGGGTACTCTGGAGAAGACATGGTTTGTGTTCTGCTTTGAATTTGAAGGCGGTTCAATGATAGCAGTTTCCAACACCGGAGATGATATTCTGCATCCTTGCAGCACTCCATTCACCGGCGAGGCAGCCGAATTCTGGGGGAGTTCTGATTGATACTTGATTTGTGACAAACAGTTTCGCTCTGGAGAGAGAGTGCTATTGCTGATTTGACCAATAACTTCGAGGCGAGATACTTGCGAGGTAAGATTTGGTACACTGGTTATCAGGAAACTTGCTCTACGCGTCTTTTGAAATGAAGAAACAGTAACACTGACTTGATTTCTACAGACGACTTAGCATAGCACACTGAGTATTGCAGCTATTCAACAGTGTATTTTTTTCATCAGGTCACCTTCTCTCACTGCATTCATTCTCCTAAACCTATAACTGGCACCCTCTCCCTGCAATACCCTCGCTTTCTCATCTCTCATTTCCCCACTGCATCTGGTCCGCTACAATTCTGGACTTGCCCAAGTCGATCTGAGCTCAAAATGTCGCTTACTGTGGCCGAGGCAGAACGCCGCTGGCAGAACGCAGAAACAGGTCCACTTCTTCTCCTACCGCCTCTACTCGAATACTAATTCCATGATGTAGAGATCCATCGGACATTCAACGCAGAAGATGTGGATGAGTACGATCAACAAGAAACTGCGGTACTGATAGAAGTGGTACGGCCCCTGGAGCCGGTGAACGCCCATGTCGTGACGACCGAGAGGAAAGATTGGCAAGACTACGTGGCGGACGACTACAACCGATGCTTTGCGGATGCTTCTATATTGTATCGCCGGGGAGTGGAAGTTGATCCTTGCACTCAATGCTCGGTCTCAGCCACATTTCGACGCTGTATCATCGCGCCGTCGTTTCGAGGACGTGCATTGTTTGCTGCTGCGTGTGCGAATTGTATCATAGACGGCATAGGTGAACATTGCTGTTACTACAAGGCGTTCAAATTTCAGAATGGCATAGAGTGGGGCGCACCTATCTCGGAGTGAGTATCTATCCCAAGTGCAGGAGTGCCGACTAACATATTCCAGGGAAGTTCGAGGGTATGGCGGCCTGCGTGAAGCAATCCAAGCTACTGGACACGACGGTCTTTGGTTTGCTCACGAAGATGCTGAGGCGGCAAACCTTCGACTAGCTGATTCATCTCTGCAATCCGGCCAGAATCGTGTCGTGCGAGACAAAGCGCAGAGTGCCATGGCTATCGTGTCCTCGAATGGCAATTCTGCACCATGGGCTATTGCTAGCGAGCAATGGAATGATCTATCTGCGCTAAAGAAGATCCGCACTGACTTGAAGCAACATGTTCGGGCCGTCAAGAATCGGATTCGACAGCTCAGATCTCTTCAAGCATCGAAGCGCACCGACATCTCCGATCACCAATCCGGGGCCGTCTAGATGAATCGTGCGGTGGAACAAAAGGCGCGACGTACGCGAGGACGTTGATGTATTAGAATGAACTTTGAGGTGCCACTCTATGCCTCTTGCTTACGTGGTTGAAAGATTTGGGATTCATCATCGGAGGCTGACTGCTCATTGGCGAGATAATACACCGAAATTCTTGCAGAGTGACGATAGTGAGATCAATACAAGAGATACCTGCTGCAGGAGTTTGATCGATAGAGTACTCCGTATTGTTTGTGTTTGTTGTTGTGGTGGAGATAAGTCAGCGGTGAGTGAGCGAACCACGTGACCGGACGTGGACACACACCGTCAGTCTGCGACTCTGCGTCCACGGTGCCTCCCACCCACACCTTCCCTTCAGTTCAGTGTCTCTTTATATGGAGCCAGCCGTGCTCCTAACAACCTTGAAGGCTGCTGATACCTCCAAACCAGAAAGCCTAATTCAATTCATTCCCCCGATCTTGAAAATCGAAAATCCCCAAAACTTGTTTTCGGCACAAGGGATAGTTTTCAAGGTTCCACGTGCGACCCCAGATTCCAGTACGTTCCCGCCGCCGCCGGCCCCTTCTTTGCCTATTTCGTGTTGTTGTCTGGTGTGTGTCTTGGGCGGGTGAAGTAGTGTGTTGTGAGTGAGTGAGTGAGTGTTGGGAAGATCCCGCCCGAACATGAACACTCCCCCCCCACCCCCCCCTGATAATCCACCCCTGGTTACGCTATATCCACGCACAAAACCCCCCTCGGCTGCTCATCATCGTGGGGACATTCCTTCCACGCACTCGCTTCGGTCGAGGAAGCGCAGTACTTCAATACTTCGATTGTTCTCATGTTCCCCGACAGCCCTTCACTACTTCTATGAGGCCATAGCCATATGAATGCTTTGCATAAGACTGATGGGCGATGCCAGACATCCACCACCACCTCACCTGTCACCATGGCAGATCCCACTGATCTGAACCTGGATGCGCCGAGCGACCTTCAAGATATCCCGGAGATGTCCATGCAATTGCTCCCGCCGCCGGAAGGAACGTATCCCGACAAGTAAGTACATCCTCCTTTCTCCTTTCTCCCCTTTCCAGCCAGCGGCAAATCACTCACATTGGTGCAACCCGCCTCCCCCAGGGCGACTTTACTGGCAGCCGTGTCGGCCCACGGCAAAGCACATGGGTACAACATCGTAGTCAAGTCGTCGAGTACGCCGACGGAAAAGAAACCGGGGCGGACTGCCAAGGTCTGGCTGCGGTGTGATCGCGGTGGCCATTACCGTCCACGGAATGGTCTCACGGAGGAGACCAGGAAGCGACGGCGGACGTCGCGGCTGATGGATTGCCCGTTTATGCTAGTTGCAGCTGGAACGCCTGGCATTTGGACGTTGACGGTGCTGAACCCCACGCACAACCACGGCCCGATTGTCGAAAAACCCCGACAGCTCCCTCACCACAAGGTCCGCAAGGGTCAGATCGCGGCGGTGCCGTACGATTGGCCGCACGATGCCACCCTGACCCCCTATACCACGGCGTTAGTAATCATCGACATGCAAAAGGACTGTGCGTCTATATTATCTTGTCTGCTTAGTGGGTCTTTTCGGAACTAACCTATGTCTATGCGACGCAGTCTGTTCGCCGGGTGGATACATGGAGTACCAGGGCTATGACATCTCCGCGAATCAGGCGCTGATTCCGAAACTTCAGCATCTGCTGAATACTTTCCGGGCGGCGGGGTTTCCCATCTACCACACCCGAGAAGGTGCGTACGGCAAACGAATGTCCACAGTCTATCCCTGTCAATCATCCCGGTCCACTGACTTTCCAATCAGGCCATCGCCCTGATCTGTCGACGCTGTCTAGCAGAGAGACCTACCGATCTCGGAATAATGCCTCCGGACTGGGGATCGGCTCGCCGGGTCCGCTGGGCCGTCTCCTGATCCGCGGGGAAGTCGGCCACGACACAGTGGACGAACTGTATCCGATCCCCGGGGAGCCCGTGATCGACAAGCCCGGGAAGGGCGCGTTCGCGCATACGGATTTCGAGCTTATCCTTCGAAACCGTGGGATCAAGAACCTGGTGATCGCCGGGGTGACGACCGACGTGTGCGTGGCGACGACCATGCGTGAGGCCAACGACCGCGGCTTTGACTGTGTGGTTCTCGAGGATGGCACGGCGGCCAGCGAGCCCTCGCTGCATGTGAGCACGATCGAGTCGGTGAAGATGGAGGGGGGGATCTTTGGGGCGGTCACCAAGCTGGAGGATGTAGTGCATGCGGTGGAGAACTTCAAGGCTGTGACTGTGAAGAAGCTGGCTCCGCAGATGGCCGTTTAGCTTTGCTTCTTGAGCCGATGTTCTGGACTTCATTTGATGGTTTTCTTGAGACTCAGCCGAATTCGGATTTAGAGGAGTTGTTTGGGTACTTTAGTATGATTGCCAGCAATAACGACGAATACGACCATGATTAACGATGCACAGCGGTCATCGATTGAAGTCACTAGTAAGCAGAGAAACTAAAAAAAGATATACATGGCGAACAAGCCCTGGTATCATCAAGCAGAAAGCAACAAAACCCAACGCCAACACCAGTATACCTACACCCTCACCCAACACACACCCAAACCCTCCACCTCTATCACCCCTTGACCCAACCCTAGTTCCCCATCCCAATTCCCCCTCCCCCTTAAAAAACCCCCTCCGAAAATCACAACCACTTCCTCCCCGCCGCCGTAACCCTGGACCGAAACACGGCACTCCGAATCTCCATCCCCTGCCGATAGAACGGATTCATGACCGTCTTCACGTAATTCTCATACACCTCGGTCATGAACTGGCGCACGGCCTCCTCCGTCTGGGGACTGGTCGGGTTGGCGGCGATGGAGCTGGCCGAGGCGCGCGACGACGAGCCCGCCGAGAACGAGCCGCCCAGGATCGACGACCCGCCTATCCCGCCGCCGCTGCCGCTGCCGCCCGTCGCATTCGGACCCGACGCGTTGGGCAGCTGGGGCGGCTGGTGCAGCAGCAGGAACCGGGCGCCGGACGGGGCGAGGAAGGCGGAGATGTAGGCCGAGGCGGGCGGGTAGGTGTCGATGTGTTTGAGGTACCTGTTTCCCGCCCGGCGATCAGAATGGTTAGTTGGGTTTTTTTTGGGGGGGAGGTAAGGCTGGGGCATGGCTGACATATTCCCATTCATCCACTGCGCCTCCTCGACCATATCCAGACTCGAGTGGATGATGAACTGGTTCATGTACTGGGCTGTGTCCGGGAAGCGGAAGCGGGCGATGCCATCGCCGCCGGATTTGGAGGTGCCGAAGGCGATGTTGAAGAGGGGGACGTCGGTGGGCGAGAGGATGGTGAAGTAGTAGGACATTTTTGATGCTTTCCAGCCCCTGATAAGTGGAACGAAACGAAGATGTTGATTTCCGGGGAAGACACGCCGCTGCGGCACCGCGCCAGTCAGGGAGGGACGGGGACAGCAAGCGGAGGAGGGGATAGTCACGTGGTGATAAGATAGACCCAACACGTGACTCGCATCATCGATATCGATATCCATCATCAAATCAACTGTTTCCTCTTCCCTGTACTGTACATCAACCTACCAGACAAAAGACAATGCCACCCTTCGGCATCAATCTTGCCAACAAATCCAAAGCCGGCGGCGGTGGCGGCGGCGGCCGCCCCCCACCAGGCCACCAAGCGCCCAACAAGCGCAAGAAAACCATCTTCGACGATCCGGACTCCTCCGACGAGGACACCACCGCGCCCGCGAACAAGAAACCCAGCGCGATCGAAATCACCACCCTCGGCGGCCTAGACGAGATTCCCACCCCAGCGCCAGCCCCCAAACCCACCGACACAGACCCGCATCCCCCCAAACGCAAACCAACCCTCACCAATTCGAAACCCCCGTCAACCATAAAACCCCTCTCCAAAACCTCGATTTTCGCCAACGACTCCGACCCGGACGATGATGCCACCGCCGAACCAACAACGACAACGACAACGACCTACGGGCTCACCACCAAACCACCCACCAAAACCAAAACCCCAACCCCCACAGGAAACGAATACACCAACCTCTCCGCCCTGCACAGCAGCCGCCAGCACCACCGCAGCGCCGAATCCCTCGACCCGAGCATCTACTCCTACGACAGCATCTACGACACCCTGCACACCAAACCGCCCGCCCCCAAAACTGCAGGAAACCCCGATGATTCCCGGGGGCAAGTCCCGAAATACATGACCGCCCTGCTCCGCAGCGCCGAGATCCGCAAACGGGACCAGCTCCGCGCCCGGGACCGGCAGCTCGCCAAGGAGCGCGAGGCCGAGGGGGACGAGTTCGCCGACAAGGAGAAGTTCGTGACGGCCGCGTACAAGGCGCAGCAGGCGGAGATGCGGCGGATCGAGGAGGAGGAGGCTGCCCGGGAGGCAAAGGAGGAGGAGGACCGACGGAAGAATGGGGGCAAGGGGATGGTCGGGTTCTATCGGGAGATGTTGGCGCGCGGGGAGGAGCAGCATGCTGCTGTTGTTAGGGCTGCCGCGGAAGCGGCTGCGGCTGTAAAGGAAGGGGGTGCTGCAGCTGCAGCTGCAGGGGAAGGTGAGAAGAGTGGGGAGGAGAAGGACGACAAGCACAAGTCGGAGGCGCAGGTGGCGGCCGAGTTGAATGCGCGGGGCGCGCACATTGCCGTCAACGATGACGGGCAGGTCGTGGATAAGAGGCAGCTGTTGTCGGCCGGGCTGAATGTCGCGCCGAAGCCGAAGGTGGCGCCGCAACTTGATCCCAAGGCCGGGGCGAGAGTGGGTGGACCGGCGACGTCGAGGTTCGGCGCGAATAGAGCAGGGGCGGATCGCGGCGGCCAGCGCGCCAGACAGACGGAGATGATCGCGGCGCAGTTGGAGGAGCGGGCGCGGCAGGAGGAGGAGGCCGAGGCGGCGCGGCAGAAGGAGATCGCCGAACGCAGTCGGAGCCTGAAGACTCAGGGCGACGTCTCGAGTGCGCGGGAGAGGTATCTGGCCCGGAAGAAGGAGCGCGAGGCGGCGGCGGCGGCTGCCAAGGGAAAAGCCTCCTAGCACATTTTTTGCTGTACTCTACTTCAGGCGCTGTTATATAGTGGCAAGTGGCTAGTGATTCCCTATAAACTGTACGATAACATGAGAGCGAATTGTGAATCTACCGGTAAAGCTATATATGTATTCCCCAGGTAAACAGATAACAATCACAAAACAATCAATCCAATCCGTCATGACAGCCCGGAACCCGATTTCGTCACATCATTTCACAACATCACAAAAAGCAAAAAGTCACTCCGCTGGAACAATGCTATCTCTTGAAGTAATTCTGTCTAGTGTAACCCTTATAAAACAACAATGCAGTTTTTTTTCTGGCCTAATCATACCCGAGAATCAACGCCAACCGACGATGCACGAAATATCATGCCGTAAGCGCGAAGCTAAGCCCCATCAGGACCATCCCCCCAATCGCGAACCCCGTGCACATGCCCCGATGATGGGTCAAAGTCAACCCTTCACTGAACAGCTGCAGCGCCACCGAGGTCATGACGCCCGCGGTGGCGGCGAACATGCCCCCGTACACGCCCCACGACGGACCGGCCGTCCCATCGTCCCCGTTGGCGCGCCGGGCGCCCCAGATCCAGAGGGCGGCGAGGCCCGCGCCCGCCGGTTGGCTGATGCCGCCCAGCAGACTGGACCAGAACATGGCCCAGCCGCGCGAGTGCAGGGCCAGGTAGAGGGGCAGGGCCATCGCGAACCCCTCGCTGATGTTGTGGATGAAGAGCGCCAGGAAGACGGTCAATCCCAACGTCGGGCTCGCGTGGTTGGTCGCATACGTGATGAAGCCCTCCGGCAGCTTGTGCAGGGCGATGGCGACGGAGGTCTGGAGCCCGATGGACAGGAATGCGTTTTGCGGGACGTGGTGGTGATGTTGCGGCGTCTCTGCGACAGGAAGCTTGTGAGGGGAGTCTTCCGACGGCTCGCACTGATCGTCCAACAGGCCCGTGTGCGATGAGGAGGAACTGGTCTCGTGGTGAGGGTGGTGGTGGTGGTGATGGTGGGGCGACTCGTGCACGCGAGGTAGACCCGATTCGAGATCGCTGGGCTGGGTTGCATCTCCGTGGACGGTGATGCTGCGAGGCTGATTGAGAGGTGGACGAACCAGGTCACTGCCTACATCCGAGATCGAGGGAGTCGGCAAGAGTGTCTTGGTACATTCATGGCCACACGCCTGCGAAAACCCGAAACAAGGCCCGTTCTCGTCGCACTGGGCTTTGACGCCCACCATCCGGCTGAAGCGCCGCGTCAGACGATCCCGCAATGATTCCCGCCGCTGGAGATGCACTTGGGCGCGAGCGTTCGCCTCGGGGAGGGTCATGGTCGCCGGGGAGCACTTGAGGGCCCGTGACAGAAGGGGGGTGCGCTCGTTCCACGTGTTCGACTCATCATGATGGTGTCCGTTGGGCTCGTGGTGGTGATCGAGCTTCGGATGCGGTTCGTGGGAATGAGCGCAATCGACGACATGGGAGGGGATGTACCGGTGCAGCAGGGCGGATGCGAAGCGAATGACGACGACACCGGCGAGGAAGAGTCCAATGAGCACATACGCAGAGCTAGAGGGAGACCAGCCGGCGCGAATGAGGTAGTTATGCGATGTAGGAAGCATGCTATAGAGAGACGTGAAAAGCTATGACCATTAGTCACGACCATAACGAAAAGGGGCAAGGGCGGCAATACCATTACACCTGCACTCAGGCAGAGCGATGCTGATAAGAATGCATTGTTGTGGACTATCTGAAAGTCCTTTCGCCGTGTTAACTGCCGCAATACTATGTCGACGCAGATGACGGACGATCCCAGGACGCAGGCTAAAGGCAATCAATCAGCATGGAAGGCGAATTTTGGAGATGGGTTTGAGATTAAACTTACCCGCGCCAGAGACGGCACTCATGACCCAGCCCCGAAGGTCATTGCTGGCAGCCATGATGCGGGGGGATGGGAAAGAGCCTGAGGGGAGAGAGAGGGAAGGGAGATCGACAGGGAGATGGAGACAGAAGTGGAGGAAGAGATGAGGAGATCCCAGAGTAGGTACCCGGGGGGAAAATTGGTAAAGCAAAGCAAATGAATGGGGGGGGACTGTGGATTGCGGAGGGCGGGCGGAATGGAATGGCTAAATAATGCATGATATCATGTCACGCGCTCTCCCGATTAGATAAGGCCTGGGGACCTTGGAAGCCCTACTTCTGACATCCCCCCTTGCAATCCACTGCATTCAGAATAAAAATAGAACTTATGTACAATTAATTTCAATATCTGGATAAATATGCATTCACCTTCTGTAGTATAAGTGATTGATATTCCGCTCCTTTGTACATGCAATGTCATTAGTAGACCAATTGGTCTTTCTCTCAGTGGTATTGTGTCTCTACTGCAGCATGATAATTCACAGTAGATTGAGAATAACAGAATACTTGTTAAAGACTTGCCTTACCTGCCATGATAGTACTATCAATCCTGATTAAAATGCTTTACAAACTAACATCATACAAAATATTCAACCTTGAGTGTGCTTGCATCAAGGCAAGTATTATGTAAGGTAGAACAACAAATGGTTTAGGAATAGGAGATTACAGGTTTTATTAAAAGAATCATACATCCCTGGACAATAGTGTAATGGATGAATAGAGAATAAAACAAGCAAAGGCTTGTCGAGATGGTACCTGACATGTCTATCATACTAGTACTAGTTGATCTACCAGTCCAAGCATCTTGCGGCTGCCGCCGATGCTGATGCCTAGAAGCAGACCAAGATCAGACCAAGACAAAAAGAGGGCGTTCACAACTCTGTGGTGAGAAATATAGCGATGCCTATAACTCAATGATAACACTTAGAGCAAGATATGACACCCCCGGAGAGTGTCAAAGCCAAAGAGCCTTATATAGTAGTAGAGAAACAGATGCTGGAAACATGTATGCTCAGACGTAGTACTGCCAATGTCCAAAAATAGGATGATAGTAAAAGAGTCTTAGGACATCCTTACATCCACCAATTATACTTTGCGAAACCACCAGAGAATCAATTCTTATTGCCCAAGCCCTCACTTGCCACTATTTCGACTACTGCTCTGCAACTCTTAGTTCTGCCCCGTAAGACCATTGTGTTGCCCGTCTAGCCTCCCGCAGCTGCTCCACTTAGCTCGTTCAATTCGTCACTAACCTGCAACGCTCTATTCGGTCAGCGTCCGGTTTCACCTTGCTATTACTTTCTCAGCCACAAAGCTGTTGTAAGGCTGAAGGGACATCTCATCCTTGTTTCACTTTGAGATAGGGCTGGTTACAAGTCAGGGAAAAGAAAAACATGGTGGTCTTTTCCCAATTCCATTGTTCCTCTCCATTAACGCAACGGTACGAGTACGAGTACGAAAGTGGGTCGGACTGTGCACATAGTATAGGGATACGCCTTCACCACCCAAAGAAAACAGTATGAAGATTGGAATACACAATATCGCATTCATGCGTCTCAAAATACCCTCAAGCGAAAGAGTGACTCCCTGAGCGGCAGTTATATCGTAAATCCCGCAGAGATAGGTACCATAGCTCCATGTGATCACCAACAAAAAAAAACATCAGAAAGAATCATCAAGCAAAACAGATTTTCGTTCGCTGTAAAAAGAAATCAAGAAAAATCCCCAGAGCAATCTGCCAACCGGAAAGATATCAAGATGACAACGCTCCCCGATCCAGATGCATATAACCATTCCCAGGGCTGGCAGCGCCGGCACTTGGGGGCACCAACAACAGCGCCCCAGGGTGCTCGCTAGCCTTATGGATGCGCTTCTTCTCCAACCACATAACAACCCCCGCGCCCGCGGCAACCGAACAAGCCAGGCCCACGAACAGGCCCGTCGTCCAACTAGGCCGATGGAACCGGTCCATCGCCCACATGCACACGGCCAGACAGACCTGAAAGACGGAGTTGAGGAAGTTGCCCCAGACCACCACATCCATTTTCCACAGCGGGGTGGGGGTGCGGTGAGCTTCTGTTGCAGCAGCAGCAGCTGCTGCTGGGGCCGCCGCCCCCGCAGTCGCCTTCTCCTCGTCTTCATCTACGGGGACCGCCGTCCCGCAAAACCACTTGCCATGGATCTCCGCAAGCCGGACCAGTCCCCCCTGACGAGTGCGCGACGAGCGACCGAGACGCCAGAGACACCACAGGTACAGATCCCGAATCCGCCAGGGCGCCAGGCCAAACCCGGTGACGCAGAAGAGGGCGTTGAGGATCTGCGAGTCGATCTCGATCCAGATGCGGCGCGCCGAGTACGGGGCGTCGCAGCTGGGGTGGCACATCGCCGGCGCCGCATTGCACAGCAGCAGGAAGAGCATGCCACCCCAGGCGACCACGTTCAGGCCGTAGATGGTGATGCAGAAGCCCAGCGGGGTGACGGCCCAGCGTAGGAATGCTTGGATGGCGGTGAGCCATGTTGTTTGGCTCGGTGGATGCGTTCCGTTGTCATTGTCGTCGTCGACTTTGATTGAGGTGATCATTTGCTCTTTCACGCTCTTTCTAGTAGCTGAACCTGGGTGTGTAGTTGGCAGGGGAGAGGTGAGGGAGAGAAATGACGATATGTTTAAAAGCCTTGGAGGAGAGGAAAAGTCGGTTAGATTGACCAAAGGACCGCTGATTTAACGATAAAGTCATTCTCCGAGCATGAGAGAAAAGGCGGGTTTAAAATACACACGCAAGACGTGGGCCAGGTGCGACATTACGTCTGTACTATGCGCAGCCAGCCAAGAAAAGCCTTTGCCCTCTCCTGTCATCCATAATAGGCAATAAGTTGGGTGTCCGTCTGAGCCCAGGTTCCTCAGCGGGGCCGGACGCTGCGCCGGGAGTACCTTATTCTGCAATCGAGTGGCGATCACAGTGGAGGGAATCAGATTTTGACTGAGATTGAGATTCTACCCCGTGCACCTATATTTAGGGGTATCCTTTCTTTCGGTTTTTACCATACCAAGGCATCTTGTCGTAGGAGCGACACGTGTTTGACGCACTGATGGAACTTCTTTTTCCGAAAATCAGTCGTCACTCTTTACTCAAGAACCTTACAGTCGGATACTTTCGGCCTAGGAAGATTACAAGTCAACATCTCTAGCCAAGCCACGGTTTGACCAGTAATGTTATGAGTCTAATCTAGGCAAACACAGTTGAAACTGTTCCGTCTAGAACTGGGGCTTCCCGAGAGCAGTAGAATCCGGCTAACTGCTTCGAGTAATCGGTACGAGACCCGGATCAAAAATGCTCTCACGGACATCGGACGAAACCCTATCCAGAGAAGGTAACTCCATACTTAAGATTTCTATCTACGAAGAATGACGAAAAGCAGAGGCGCTACAACAGACTGTATCAACTAACAAATAGAGATGTCGAGTAATAAATGTGGGCGTGAAAATAACAAACCGAGCGAGACCCAAGAATGTAACCATTAAAAACACGACCGACCACTTTAACAATCACATCCGCGGATCCAGCATCTCGACCTGATCCGAGTCCATCTTGCCGTACGGTTGGCGGCTGGACAGAATGCGACTTGGGTGCATAATGTTGAACAGGAGACACACCAACAACATTAGCACCGCATCGAAGATGTAGAGGTAGATCTCATGCTGCTGCAGCACTCCCGTGGACCCTTGCACATATTCTACCACGCGGTAGATCGATCGAACCATGATCAGAACACTGGCAACATATAGGACCCGCATGTAGGTGTACCATGGGGGATTGCTGATGGAGAGGGAGGTCGGAGTCGGGGAAGCGGTCATACGGCGATGGAAAACTATGGAGACGAGGATGAAGAAGCCGAAGAAAACCAGCTGGACGATGAGACCAATCACAATAATACGATTGCCCAGGGAAACACTGCTGGCCGAGTTCGCGCTCGCCATCATGCCGCCACCTCCGCTCTGGATGAAGAAAGAGAGCACATCTCCCGTCACGAAGATCTTGGTCAACCAGTTCGGTCGGATAAGCGAGCGCGAATCCCCATGGACCAGGCGGATGATGCGCCCCAGCAGCATGTAGATGGAGGCGGAGAAGAGGGAGGGGGCGAGGAGGAGCAGCAGCTCCTGACTGACATATGGCATCACCGTCCAATTCGGGGTCTGTTTGGCACTGTACCACCGCGCAACATAGCCAAATGCTTCGACTAGAGAGAAATAGAATAGTTCAGCATATCAGCCAAGTCCCGGCGATGGTATTGGCAGAGAAAGAGATCAGGAGAACTCACAGAAACCACCGATGATAAAGGGTGTAAAGTACCAGGTCCGCCTGCGGATCATTTGGAACAGATGCAGAACAGAGGTTGCGGCGAACACACCAGCAAAGACTATGGCCGCGCCCCCGGAAGGATTGTAATCATAGAGCTTGTAGCCACTCGACATGATGGGTGTTGAGAGGTGGTGTAGTGTAGGGGTGTCAAATGCATGGGAGCCCAGCAGGATATGTACTGTACTGCACTCGACTCAGTTGAGACTACATCAGAATTTCAGAAAGACCCCCTTGTCATAGTGGGCGAGCATCTATGAGCTATTATTGTAAGATGTGAAACTGCAGGCATCTCAGGGTTGGTGGACATCCATTCTGGGGCAAATGTACGAATACGAGTGGATCGTGCCAAGTCCGGGTACAAAAACGAGCGAACTTCTCTGTAAAAGCGTTAATAGATCATCTGAGTTATGTAGGGTGGAGACTCATACCTACCGTACAACCTCTTTCTGATTACCATCCATGCATCCTTCCCTAGACTCTAAGAGGGTAAAGAACTATCAGTGGTGATGATCAGCGACCATCCAGCCCTAGAACGAAGAATTGAAACTTTGTGGGGTATATGCCATTCCCAACTTTGTTAAGTGGCGATTCCTAGCATTTCCGCAGCATTGGGCTGGTTTCATCGCTAGCCGTCCTTTTAGCTTCTCAAGGAGGTCTGATCCACACAGCTTTTTGCTCTCTCAGCAATCGAACCAGTTGTGTTGCAATGCCTTCTTACTCGAGAGCACGTCGCAATTTGCCCCTGTAATTCTCCTTTTACTCAGAATGTTCTACCATAATTTGATGTGAGATCCAGCGTATAGAATCGGCTTCGTGGGTACTGGCTGGTGCAATGGTGATGACTTCAAGCCCGCACTGCTGGGGAATAACGCTGGCACTTCGATGGGGACAACGAGTTGGAAACCGCATAACAACCGCTCAGGCAGATGCTAGTGCAGTATGAAGTTGGAGTTGGAGATGTTTTCGAGTCTCCAATGAACGAAGTGTGTGTCAAAACTTATGCAGTGGGAGATCACTGAACTGAACTTGTGACTGAGCCCGTAAGCTCTTCATCTTCGAGATGTTATCATACTTGTAGCATCGACTACTAGAATGAATGTACCATGTCTGTGGACGGAGAGACATCCTCTGACCAGCTCAGCTTTGAGTATCACATCCCAAAAGAGTCGAAATAAGGCTGTTGACCGAAGACTTCTTGATTGGCGGAGCGGCGCTTGACGGACAAAGACCCACATAGTGCCTAGTGTTCTCAGCCAAAACAGCTGTTTGAAATCTGGTCACTGGACTCATATCTTTAACTACTTCCTGAACACTCGTACCGGGTTGTATAGTCTGACTTTGAGCAGGTTCAAGTTGTTCGACGGCGGCTTGCCAATTCTCTGTAGGGTCCTACGCCTCTAGTGGCCACAAGTCAACATTGATCCAAGAATCTAATTTCCCCAGTAAGTGACACCTCGAATGCAACCAGGACAATAGGGAATGAAGACTCGCTACTGCAAAGAGCCTACAATGAGGACGCAATTCTTAGTAGACGCAGACACAGAGCCAAAAACTCTGATCTCAGGCTCATCTACTTAGCGTGGCACAGCCATGGTCATGACGAAGGCATCGATATTGAACATTTGACATCACTGTATGGACTTTGGCAAGTAAGCCGATAACCACAGTTGTAGCGGCTCAGTAGGAGTTTGTCGGTATGAGGGATATGATTGACTTTTGGACTTATCCTCCGATTCGTTCTCCGAGTTGATGGTGGCGAGCTGAATGCACTGAGTCGGGGGTTGATCAGAGCTTATATCAACACCAACGAACAGGGAATATTCGAATTCAGCTGGCACAAAATGGCCTCAAATGAGTCGGAATTTCCATCAGGCTCTCAGCTGCGAAGAAGTACAAGAGTGGTACAAATGCCACAGCTTCCGCGACATCGCCAGTAACTTTACCAATCCTAGCAGTGAAGTAGAGATACCAAGCCGAGAAACAAGTACCAAGTAAGCACATTGGCATCAAGAAAGTTGAAAGTACTCCTCAAGGCGTCACAATGGAAATAGGGAAGTTGTACAGTAGAAGTCAAGGAGGGAAGGAGAGTAAACGGACACTGGCCGAGTGACGTATTACAGGCCCGTCACATGATGGAGGCTTTGAAGTAAACAGGTGCAGGAAAACCCCAGCTTCACCTTGTTGTAGCTACACAAGAATTTCGTGTCAGCAGAACTTGAGCTGAGATCACTGTACGCGTTATCTTCTTGTCTACAATTATAAAGCACCTCCCATTTCTCCGATCGACCTGAAGAAAGGGTCATCAACATCCACTCTTCCTTAAAAACTACCGTGATTCGATTGAGGTACGCTCACAAAACAACCAACCAAGCAAACAAGTCCACTTGGAAAAAACCTGCCACCATGCTTCCATCTACCCTCCCTATCAGAAGTCTTCTAATCCTCCTTCTCATCTCCATAAGCTCCGCCATGTCTCTCACCCGCTATTCCAAACCCGTGCCCTCTGGGGCTATAGTGGCCGAGACCCGCGAGCAGCTCAACCAGATCACCTTCGAGAATCAATACACGCTTCTACACGAGGAGGACGGTGGCTACATGCTGAAGCAGACCGAAGACGGGACTGTGGTGGCTGTAGCCGGCGACGCTCTCTGCGCGGAACTCGACAAGGTCTTTGCCGACCTCGACGCCAGGGAGGCTGCAGAGAAGAACCAGGAGGATCAGCAAGGTGGGAACTCCAGCACCGGCGGCTCCGGCAACGGTGAATCGCGGCGATCTGCGAATGACATCCAGGCGGACGATAGGCTGAACGCTTGTGCTCATCGCAGATGCTTCAACTCGGTGATTTGTATAACTTATAGAGACTGTCATATCTGCTCATCTCGGAATGTGTGTATTTGAGGAGCAAAATGTTTGGTGTAATGTGTTTGATGTGTTGATACTTGAGTGGTCGGCGATGGTATAGTGTGGATAACAAGGGTTGGAGGGTAGGGCGAGGAAGGGTAAGGCGACAGTTGGGGACAAATTGTTCTCCTGTTGATGGTGCTCTCGTGCCACTGAGTGTTATTAGCAGTTTGGACAGGCAAGGAGATCTCCGAAGCAGTCAGCAAGGACAGTCTTTACAAGCAGATGAAAGTTATGACAACCTTCATTTCTGGTCCTGGTAACATCTCGTAAAATCACTCATGGAAGACTGGAAGATCAGTTCTGGCCATGAAAACTGTGATTCCCCTAGAATAGACGGCCTTTCACCACAACATCCTCTATAATGCTTCACTGTTTGGACATTTCCTTTTCATCACAGACTTACTTCGGCAATTTGATGACGTTGGCGTGGCCCAGGCTGGCGAGGAAAATGAGAAGCAGGTAGAAGCAGGGAAGATGCCAGCATATGAAAGCCCAGAATGGATAGAAGCAGCCATAGGGTGCGAAATAAACTGGTCTATACGTGACTTTGGTTACTGGAACCTCCAAGGAGGCCTAAGCGATTTGGACGAATCCCTGGTTCTGAAAAAGTGTCATAACTAGCAACAACTAGGTAGATCCAGACTTCATTATAACTGGGAAATTTTTAAATTGGTTCGAATCGATGCAACCTCAAATTCAAGGCATCTTGTGTAAGCGCAATGTATGTAGACATAGCCCTGAGAATACTATCAATCTAATCTTATAGCTGCTCCTCACGACAACATTCGTTGCTTACCCACGCGCTTCCAGGTCCAATAAGCGCTTTGAGGAAGCTCTTCAATGTGCTCACAGAACAGATTGAATGTCTCCTCGGTCATGGTTTTAGGGCATTCGCCAGCCATGCCGAAGCAATGAAGGGTGTCACTATACTTGGCATAAGGCAGTGTGAAAACATTCTCCAGATTCGGGAGGTGCTGGTGCAAGACGAAGAACGCTTGATAAGGCGTGATGACTCCGACCAAAATAGCCTGCTCCGCCAAATCTCTGAATGCGGCGAAGAACCCGTCGGGGGATCTATAATCGAAAGGGTCCATGCGGATAGTTGACCACCAGAGATTAGTGGCTGTCTCCAGGCTAACACGGCTCACAACGTCCCTGACAGTGTTGATGAAGTCTTCGGGAAGTCGTGGCTGGCGGCTAACGAAAATGGGGTCTTCGCAAATGGTAGGCGAGGTGTGAAGGTGCAGCCAAGAGAAGATCACGTTTGCCTGTTGTACCCAGTAGATGTAGTCGTCGTCATCGGGTGCAGGTCTCGGAGCGCTGGGATCGATATAGTCCTCCAGCTGCCATGTCTCCAGTGCTCTATGGACGTCGTCGAGCCATTGGCCAAAGTTGCTATAGCCGCGGAGTTTTTCGATGGCGGGGAGCATTTGGTGCACCTTGTCTTGCTGAGCGGGAGAGAGTTCTTCGGAAGCTTTAAGTCTCTTGGGCGGTGGGAGCAGGTCAGTCATACTGTCTACTGCGAATTTTTGATTATAGCTGGCACTGCCGGAGGAAGTTGTTGTGAGGAAGTTGACTTGAGATGTGGCGATAGAAAGCGTCGCATTTTGTAGCCTTTCTACCACAATGGACTTGATTGCATCCAACCATAATGTCTATATGTGCCAAAGATAGTCACATCGCTGAAAGAATATTAGTGTTGCTGTTATTTGAAACCAATTACACCTGTTTCGGAACATACGTGCGAAAGAGGGTGTGTCATCTGCGTGCTGCTGTGTCAGCCGACCTGACCCTGCAGAGCAGGCAAGTGGCCATTGCTGTCTTTGAGTTCATTTAAGCGGACTGTTTTCCACAGTCGATACTTAAGACAAAGACAAGAAAGATCGAAACAATGAAAATGTTGCTGAAATAGAAGCTGAAATCCTTTGAATGTTGATTGTTGTTTCTTTATACTTCGAATCATCTGATAGTCGCGCTCTGATTGGCCTACCGCGGACGGGGCTGCGATCGGGACTGTTTTGGAGATCCGATTTTTGTCCGACTTTCTTCTTCCTCTTCCATCCTCAACCTCTTCCTCTCCCTCTCTCTCCGTCTCTTCACCCCTTCTCTCTCCCCTCCCTCCCTCCCACCCTTCTACAGGACACCATGTCCAAGGCCACTTTCGCCGCGATCGCCGCGGCCAGTGCAGCCACCGGTGCCGGACTGACGGCTCTCTTCTACTCATCCTCCACTCCGCGATCTCAGCAACCTCAGCAACAACAACAACAACAACAACAACAACTCCCACCTCCGTCGCCCATCGCTGCGCCCTCCCCCACCGCAATCCGCCCTCCCGCTCCTCCCTCCCTCGCCCCCAAGCCCACCACCGCCGGGGGACTCTCCCCCGTCGACCCGACCGGCATCTACCAATATGGCTTCCCCGGTCCCGTAGCAGACACGCTGATTTCGGCGCCGCTCGCGGGCGCCTACGACCGGCGGACGCGCAACCCGTCCTGGGTGGCGGAACACATCACGCCGCAGTCGCTGGCGATGAAGAACGCGGACCGCAAGAACAGCACGTTCTTCGAAGACACGACGATCCCGCCGATGTTCCGGGCGAAGCTGTCGGACTACTTCCGGTCCGGGTACGACCGGGGCCACCAGGTGCCGGCGGCGGACTGCAAGTGGTCGCAGGAGGCGATGGATGGGACCTTTGCGCTGAGCAACATGTGCCCGCAGGTGGGCGAGGGCTTCAACCGGGACTACTGGGCGCACTTCGAGGACTTCTGCCGCGGGCTGACCAAGAAGTACCCGTCGGTGCGCGTCGTCACGGGGCCCCTGTACCTGCCCACCCGCGACCCCGCCGATGGCAAGTGGCGCGTCTCCTACGAGGTCATCGGCAACCCGCCCAACGTTGCCGTGCCCACCCACTTCTACAAGGTCATCTACGCCGAGGAAGGGCCCGCGGCGGCGGGTAAGGTCGCCCTCGGCGCGTTTGTCCTGCCCAATGCCCGGATCCCCAACGACAAGCGTCTGGCCGACTTCGAGGTGCCCCTCGAGGCTGTGGAGCGCGCCAGTGGCCTGGAGTTTGCCGCCAAGCTGGAGGCCGGTCGTCGCAAGCGTCTGTGCCAGGAGACTAAGTGTGATATCGTTGTGCGCGAGTTCAACAACGCCTCCAAGCGGTCCTAAGTATGGGCGGTGTAGTCAGGTCTAATCACCTGAAAGGGTTGAAAGAAGGTAAAAGGGTGCCGGGTTTCATGTACTCTAGATGTATTTGGGTATCTTATCAGCATTATTCCCTCGTCCGCGCGGCTTTTCGGATGTCGGACATGTATATGAATTTGGTTTGTCAAAAACAGCCCCCATTGTCCAAGCTGTGTATGCCCGGTGCTCTGCCCCAAATCTATAATGTACACCTGGACAAACCCGGCTTCTCGCTCCCATGCAACGAACTTTAGCGAGCTTCAGCATTGAAACGCGACCCCCTCTTTCGTCGCCACATTCCCGCCCCGCCCAGCAAAGCCCGTCCCCTCAGAACTGATCTCAACCAACCCGGGCGAGATCACCTCCTTATCCTTCTTCTTTTTCTTGCTCGCGCTCGCAGACCCTTTCGTCTCGGGAGTGATGTCCGTCTCGCAGACATAGCAAAGGATGCGGCCGTGTAGCGCCGCGGTCTGGTCCTGTTCCTCCTTGGTGGCGTGCGGATCTGGCGCATCGTGGGGGGTCATGAATTTGTTGACGCAGGGTTGACAGATAACATGTCCACAGGGTTTGGTTACTATCAAACAAGAATTTACAAAGTCAGTGTACGTCCAAGCACAGGGCGAAGGGAGGGGTAGGGGAACATACGCATAGCTTTTAACCCGTTGGTAAACGTCTTCTTGCAGCTAGGACACACCCTCGTAGTTTCACCCCCGGAGCCCTTCTCCTCGGTAAAATGCACATCCACCAACGCCTTGAGCGAGTACCCATGCTTATTCGTCTCCGTCGAAGCGGGACAGATGGGCGTCAGCTTGACCGTCTTGTTGGCAGCGATCTCATCCGGATCGGTCGAGGGCGTCAAACTCGGGACCCAGAACGAAGGGAGGGCGGATTTTGCGTCCTAATGCAGCAGAAAGACGTTAGCAAGCCTAAACCACACCCCACCATCCGCATCCCCGAAACCAAGAAGAAAGGCAAGACACAAACCTTCTCCCTCCTCAACTCCTCCCTCAACCTCTCCTGCTCCTCCCTCGCAACCTTGGCAACAATCTTCTCATCCAACGCAAACACCTTCTTCCTCTTCCCCTCCCCATCGACAGCAGCCCCTACCTCCTCCTCAACCTTCCTCTTATGCCCACCACTGGCCCCCGTAGCCACCAAAGCAGTAGAAGAAGGCGTCCCCGACCCCCCACCCACAGCCACCGCCTTCTGGACCTTCCCCGCCCCCACCGACGAAGCACCCGCGGCCTCCAACCCCATACTCACCCGCTCAAACTCCCGCAACTCCCGCCCCTTCACCTCCTCCAGCGCGCGCGCCTCCTCCTCCGCCAACCGCTTCCGCGCCTCCTCGCGCGATTTCTCCAACCGCTTGATCTCCTGCCGCTGCGCCAGCAGGTCGCTGATCGCGCACTCGCGGCAGAACAGGTCGCCCGCCGTGGCGCAAGCGACGACGGGGGCGCGCGCCGGGCGGAGGCACAGGCGGCAGGACCCGAACGGCAGGAAGGAGTCGCGGCCGATCACGCTGCGCTTGGTGCCCCAGGCGGAGCGGAGGAGGGAGCGCTCGTAGGCCGTGAAGTGCGGGAGGGAGGTGTTGCGTTTGGAGTGGGCCATTTTTCCCTATCGTTGGCGCTTAAAGATTCAGCAAGAGGGTCCGAAGGGTTGATGGCGGGGAAGATTGTGGACGGCGGTGGTGGATGGGTTTTTGGAGGGTTGGGTTTGCATGCGGAGTTAAGGTTGCTGGAGTGTTCGCGTGCGCCAGGTAATTGGGGGTTGTGGGCTTGTGGTATGGTGGAAGTGCGCGCCAATTCCGAAATAAAAAAAGCTGGAGAGTTGACCACTGCTCTCGTGAGATAGAGTAGATTCGAATTGATCGATTGGGATGGGTTAGAGCTTCGAAGCTCATGAAGCTAGCGCGGAGAGAGAAAGTGAAGCTGCGGCGTGCGAACGGGCGGGCGGCGGCAGCAGAAAAGCGCGCCCTCGGAAACTGCGGTGCGGTGATTATGTCATGCTGTCACATGCTTGGGGAATGGAAGGTATATCCACTGGAAGGTATAGTCGGACTGGATGTATACAATCTTTTATGGGGCATTAGAAGCGCTCAGTGGCGAGACTAAAAAATAGAGAATACTGCTCATTGCCCAAAGAATGATACGCTAGCATATGAGAGCAGAAAGTTCTGTTGTCTAGCAATATCTGGCAATTCAACCATGTAGCTGAAGCCTCCCGGGAAGCTTCACCTCGCTTGTGAGTCTTCTGAAGACTATACCCAGGCATGATTGCTCAGTCTTATACCTTGACTCGTTCTGCATCTTCCTCCTCCTCGACGTCTCCATGGCTCTATTCCCGCTGCATATCCCCGCATAAGCGTGTCAAAATACCCCGAAGAGTAATAAACGCATCCAATTGTCTAACATCTGGTCCTTCATCTTCAAGACCTTTCCTATCCTGTCGTCGTTTCTCCATCACCTTACTCATTTCTCCTCTTCCTCCCTGACTCTCTCTTTACTTTTCATCTCCAACGCTCTTCTAAGTTTTCTACAGTCAATCAAAGACCAATATCACCGTCTTTACCTCTCTCAGACCCCTCAAGATGATTGCAATTCGATCCCAGGGGATCTCCACTCTCCTCCCCAAAGAAATCACCCTCGAGGGCCCCAATACCGATGAGAAATCGACATATCAATGGCCGAAGTCCTCGACAAGAGCACTTACGATATGAATGAAGCTAAAGCCGCCCGGGAGGGCGTCCAGCCCGACATAATGAACGAACTTCTCTGCCATGATATCTGGCGCGGATCGCTAGCGATCGTCTGAATACACTGCTAGATCACGCTCACCGGCATGGAATGGAAGCCAGCAAGACAACGGGCCACTCAAGCTACAGACACAGTATGGCCGCAAGCGACTGAATGCCTCGCGACGTATAAGAAGCTTGCCGTGGTCAAGTGCGAGCATGCTCCGGTTCTGGTCGGCTCCGCTCAGAGTAAGCAAGGGCCGGCGACTATATCTTCTATATCGGACTTACTACTGTCACTGGCGAGAACATATCAAGATCTCTTCCACGAGTTTTACCCCCTCTCCTCTTCATCTCGTTCTTGTCCACGGCAGCTTTTTATTATATGGCCTCTCTGGCTTCTTGGCTTCGTGAAAGGAGATTTCGAGACAACTGAGCATGATGTGTAAGATTTCTTCTGTATCCTATTTCAAAATGAATCGTGGCAGAAGTACCTCTGGTTCCTAGTCATCTAAGACTACCTCGAAAAGAAAAAAAGCAGGGATGATGAATCTTATAAACCATTTATACTTGTCGGATGTCAAGTACACGAAGAATAATTTAGAGATAAATGTTCCAGAAAGCAGAATAATTGATTCGATGTCTTGTTATTATGAAATTCAGTAGATCAATCAACGTCCAAACCGATTAAAAGGAATAACCCCAATTCTTGCCGTTCTACAAGCCAGTATACCACAGATACTCCGACTTCCGATAGAGCCG